TAATCGGTCGATCATTAACGTCGGCAACAAGATGAAAGTAACTAAGCATATGATTTAGAATATAAACCATTGTATATTTAACAAGCACAATGTATTGTAGTTGTTAATATAATTATTGGATCAAAAGAGAGAATCACCCGACTTGGTAAATTTTAAATTAAATTAGTCACTGTAAGTCAAGTGTGTAAAATTCTACATCGAGATAATTCATACAACTATGTTGTCATTATAAACGTACTAAATTTTTTTTATGGTAGATTATTTCTTATTGTATACTACTTCTTGTAATCTACGTTTCTTATTGTGTTCTTTTATGAAATATTACTAATTAAATATTAAAGTTCACTCTAAGAACTATAGACTAAGTATAGACTAGTATAGACTGTATACGATAAAAATGTTTCCGTTTTATTAAGATGTCTAAACACTTTTAACATTATACAAGAACTTTCGTTTAAATTAGAGCGAATAGTTTCACAGTATTTGAGTTGATTTCAGACATTAAATAGGAATAATCTATATTTGTAAAATCTCAGCGAATGAATTTGAAGTAAATCAAACGTTTGATATGGCAATCTGGTCCAAGCTTTTTCAAGGAATTATATCTTTTAACATTATTAATAATAATTGTAGTTGGCAAGCCGTTGTAACACTGACGTTGATGGTAGTGTTATTAAATCATTTCAAAATCAAACTATAAATTAATAAAATATTAGGGCAGAGAACATCAACAAAGAATAACATGGATTCACTTTATTTCGTCCTGTTCTCATCAGCCATTTACAACCTGTGATATTTCACATTATAATTACAAAATAGGTTTATTTATAAATGTAGATTACTGATGAGTAACTTAAACCTATTTTGTAATTATGATGTGAAATATCACAGTTTGTAAGCAGCTAAAGAGAACCGCACGAAGCAAAATGAATTCATACTATTCTGCTACAATCTTTATTCTTTCTCTCTTTAAAATAATAAATGGAACTATTAGCATGAAAAATCATAATGATTAAAACGTTTTGGCAAATTACATAAGCCAATAACAGAAAAAAAAAGAAAACATTCATCAGTCTCATTGTAATGATTATAAGTTTTATTGCTTTAATTTATCATTAAACATTCCATAATTCAATGAAGACAATAGTTCATAATTAAGCATAGAATTATAATGAGAAAAAGACAAAAAAAGCATGCTCAATTGATTTCATGAATGAATAAATAATTAAACAAATAAATGAATTTAATAAACCGAATTGAACGAGCCGATATGATCAATAAAACTTGTATCTGTTCTACTATAAGCTTTTACTTTTCAATCTATGTCTATAAATATAACCGTTTCTTTTTTTTAATCTTTTTTTGAAAAATCAATAACTGTAATTCATGCAGATATTAAGTAACTGTTTAATATCTATGTTCAACTGATCAAAAAAAAATCACTTTGAATGTCGCCGCTAACTAAATTTTTTCTCAGTATTCAGTTGAAACATCAAATGAACAAGTGTGCACAGAATATATATATATATATATATATATATATATATATATATTTGGTAAGGATGTAGATGAGAAAAATGTTGTTTAGTTTAAATGTGACGATTAGAATTGTTGATTTAAAAAAAGCAATTAAGTGGAGGTTTAAATGTTCTCTACAATGCATATACACTGATATTTATATATTTAAAGCAGAAATAAATAAGAACTGTCTACGTGTTGAATTGAAATTTTCTATTGTTTTTTTTCACTGTTGAAATCACCAGTCGATATAAGCTACACCACCATTGAAAACCTAGAAGCATTGAACAGCCGTTTCGTCCTAGTATAAGACTTTTCAACAGTGCGTATCCATCATTTCTTCTTTTTACTGTTTACTTACATTTATACTAGAGATTTAATTGCTGAATATCAGGATGTGTTAAGATGGTTTAATTGTTATTTTAACAGTATAAGAATGAAAAACGACATTTGTTAACAATATACTAAAATTATATTAAAGTTAGTCATAAAACAGTTCATTCTGAACATACTTTGAAAATCTGTCGTCAATGTTTACAAATTTGCTTAATCACTCGTTTCTTAGTGCTTTTTAGTTTTGATAACCTGATAAATATCATTATGATAATCATCATTTAATTTCCCTAATAAATATAGTCGTATACCATTATCATATCGTGCATATTTTTGAATATTGAACATTGGTTTTGATGGAAATCCATTATGAATTGGATTATCCAGACACATGTAAAGTCTTACTCTCTACTTTTTGATATTTAAACTACTTAATGTTCACTTCCTTGTACCGGTAAGTCTATTCTGAATCTTTGTTTGATTCAAATACTTTTTTTGCTGAATACTCTATCATCTGGGAATAACAGAAAACAATCAAAAGCTTTTCATGAGACACCTACCTTTGCTTAGTATCATTAATTTGAAGAAGAGTATTATCATCATCGTCATCAAAAATAAAGGTCATAAATACTGAAACTACATGATGTTCATGGACAAATGAATGAAGCAGACATTATATATATATATATATATATATATATATATATAGATAGATAGATAGATAGATAGATAGGGTGAAGGAGAGAGTAAGAGTTTCACAGATTATCAGGCATGTTAATTGCGCAATAAAAATGAATAAAATGTAAACTAGTAATTATGATCATTGTAATAATGATACACTAACTTAATAAAACATTTTGTTTTCTAAAAAAACTATTCTATTTGTCTAATATGAAGTAAGTTTACTTCCTTGTATATAAATTACTATAGTTACCATAGCCATATTTGAATTTATAAAGTTAAATAAAGATCTGTCTTACTAGTGAATTATTATTTAACATTATTTGATAATAATAATAATACTTCAATATCACGGTAACATAGTTTCTACATTATACACATATATACTAATGTTTATACATACCGAGACAAACACATGAACGAGTATTATATACAGTGAAAATTTTTCGATATTACTTTTATCTTTCACATATGAGTGCATAAAGGTATTCAAATAATTAAACTACAAAAAATTAAAAATGTATTTGAAGTTAAAATCTTTAATTTACATATATATATATATATACTGTATACATTTAAAGAGGGTTAAAAAACATCTAATTGTCTCTTTGATCGGAAAGTTAACTAGTCTTTTAAGTGCCTAGTGTCAAATTAAATTAGATAGATGTTTATCTTTACATTTTTTTTAAAAAAGCCTTCCAATAATTTCTTAGTATTTGTATTTATAAAAATGTATTTATAGTAATGTATTTCAATTCAACGGAGCTCTTCTATTCATTTATACATTCGTTTCAATATGATTTTACAAACAAATAATTCGAGGATCATTTGTAGTGTTACAAAAAAGTAAATAGTCAATAATGATGATGGTACTATCATTATTACTATTATTACTACTATGAATGATAATAATAATAATGATTCCATTTAATTAGAAGTGAATAAAATTGATGTGATTTGTATGAAAAAAAATGTAATCATGTGAAGTGTCAGATAATAGTTGATCAAACAAAGTAAAATATAACAAATTAACCCTTGAATAGCGACACATAAAATGTATAAATTTAACCTATTTATCTTTTATAGAGATGACTAACCAATTTACTTTAGTCTTTGGCAGCTAACTTATTAGAGCTCGGTGCGACTGAACCTCTTCGGTCACGAATTTTCACTGAGATACAATGAGATGACTACTCAAGACTGAGAATTAGTAGAAGTTAGATATGTTAATGACTTGATCTTGATTCAGCAGTCCAAAGTTCGAACTCTCATCTATAAGCCTGAAGGTTATGGCATCTGGTTGCCAGTACTCCTGTGCATGTACACTACAGAGAATTCTCATTCTCGGACTAAACAAATATTCAGTGCTTCCTGATTGTCAATGATTGTCAAACTTAAGTCAGTTCGTGATCATTATAACATTCAACAGTCTCTGCATGACACCCTAGACTAATTCTTTATGTTTATAAAGGAAATGGAAAATAATGATTTAATATACGCAAGTCAAACTATATACTTTAGTCAAATATGTGAAATCGACAATGTGTAAAGATAATGAATACCTTGCGCTACATACATTTAAGCTTATATCAACCACATTTCCAAATGATAATCTGAGAGGCTATGAACCTTAAAGGTGAATACATTTGTTATAGTCTTAAAGTTAAAGAGATATTCTAAAGAGCTCGGACGCTAAATTTTTTTATGTAACCGTTTTTATTTTACTGTTTATTTGATAATAAAGGGCAGTTGTGAATATATTTTTTCCAAAAATATATTTAGAAGGGGATTTGTGGAGATTTCAGCATTTTTCAAAGTTGAAATCATGAGTCAATTGAAGCTAGACCACCATCGAAAACCTGGAACCACTGGACGGCCGTTTCGTCCTCTTGTGGGATTCCTCAGCAGTGCTCATCCATGATCCCGCCTCTCGTGATTTCCTAGCTAGACCACCAGGTATGTGAACTAGACTTAATAAGTAAAAACTTAAATACAAAAGTAAATCGTTTAGTTTTCAAACTATGAAAATTGGTACAATCCTTATTCTATAACAGACAGCTTTATCATTCTTGTTTTGTATCATACGCGATTTATTTACTCCATCTCTAAGGAATAAAATTTGCTTATTTTATCCGGTGGTAGTGTGTAATAATTAGCAATAATAATTAGCACTAATACACATCAAGAACAAGATTATTGTAAATTGCAATAATTTGAGTCATATTATGTATATTCTGTATAGGTGAGAAGCAAGTTTGATTTAGGCTTAATATAATTGGTGAAGTTTAATAAATGGTCCATTTAAATTATGTAACAAAAGTAATACAAAAATTTGTTTGTTAATCTTTAAAATCAGTCAATTTAAAGACAAAAATAAGTAGATGATTTATCACAATGGGATCATGCAAAATTAACTAGTAAAGTTATAATCAACTAACTCTAGTCAAACATAAACAAACACCACTTACAGTTTGTATTTCCACAATATCACCAGTTCCTTCAGTAGTGCCCACTGTTGTAGCTACTGTTTCATTGTTCTCATTGCTACTGATGGTATTATTACTGTTATTTATTTGACTTGTATTGACAGGTGGATAGATTTTTCCTTCCAAGATTTCACTTTGGAATATGAGTGGTCCAGCAATCACTGAATTCCATACAATAGTGAGACATAAAAGTTCTATGAATAATTTTGAATTATGCATACATGTTATTGTATGTTTGGTGTGTGCATCAAATGAATGAACAAACTGATAAATTCGATACATGATATCAGAAGTATGAAATGAGTGTATCTAGTAATTAGTCCAGTTCCACGTAGAAATTACAAGTCGAATTAATAAGTAAGTAGTTCCAAATGGTTGTGTTAATACCTTTTCTGCTCATCGAACGTCTAGTGAAATTAACATATAGTGTTTTTCTGTTTTTGAAATAGTAAGCATTTCCTTTAAATATCAGCTGTTATTGAAAAATTAGTGTCTTATTTCAAACTAACCAATCAGTAGTGTCGGGAAATTATTATTGGTTGATAGAATTCATTCATCACTCTATATTCTAGCCAATCAGAATAAGGCGACATCGTTTAGTTTAGCACAATCTTTTAATAAAGCGTTCCCAAGTTATTTCTGGAAATAATTCATTAAGATTTTTACATTTATTAAAAGATAACTAAAATTCCGTGATGTAAAATTATGGGTATAAGGTGTATTTCAAGGTGGTTATTGATGCTCAATAAAAGTAAACAAAGAGCTCGGAAACTAAAAAGAAAACTGAAATGTTGATTTAGTTTGTTTGAGGAATTTTCAACACATTTTACCCAAGTAAAAAGCGATCCCAGACTTTCTGAATTTGAAATTAATGTAATTACTTTGGTGGTCTTATGATCCATTTTAAGTTTGAAGAATTATGACAATAATTCAAAGTTTAAAGTTCGAGTGACAAAAAACAAAAGATTGGTCAAATTAGCACGCCTGATTGGAGTTATATATGTAATTCATCGAATCCTGGTTCAGTGGTCTGGATGTAGAGTGTTTAAGTGCGAGACCGAATGTCTCAGTTTCTTTCACCGATGGCGTGGTTACGGATACTCTTGAGTAGTCCTGTACTACAACGAAACAGCTGCCGAGTCCTCCCAGGTTTTAAATGGCTCCAGCTAAGATCACTCCGTGGTTCGAACTATGAAAGTTCTACAATCATCACAATCCTTTTTCCATTTACTAAAAAGATTATTTCATTAGATCGTTGTCGGCTAACTACAACCCAGAATATTTTAAGATCAAAATTATCATGGAACTCACCATACTTGTAGGCGGAAATTGTCTAGAAGTGGATATGTATCATCGTAATGAAGCAAAGATTTCAGTAAATTTAGGATATTTCGAGAAACATAGCTTAAAATATTATATCATCCTCTGCTCCATGGTTTTTGTTAATTATTTAAAAGTTGGTTAAACATGGTCACAATAAAAATTGTATTAAGATAACTCAATTGTGAGTAATATACAATAACCTTTTCTTAGTTTTCCTGTAACCACTCATTTTTATTCCCGGATATAAACAATTATCAAAAGAGAATTCACTCAATTGTATGTTTGCATCGCGAACTCGATTACTTGCTTATTGGATAGAATTTACTGGACGTCAACCATTCCTTATTTCTCTATGTTGTTTAATCTAAAGGCCTTCAGTTTGCTTTCATTTGATTGGCCAGGATCTAGTCTACGCTTTTTCAGTAGTGTTTGGCGAAGTTTGATAGTACTGTTTCCTAAAGTGAGTTTATTAAATGATTATTCTAAGTCCTATAATTCTTCAGTTAAGTATATGAATTACTCGTAAGAGAGACACCCATCTATAGAATGTAATTCTTCCTGAATCGCTTAGTATTAAGGCGAAAATTCAAAAGCAGTGTAAATTAAAGATTTCAAACAATTTTGGTGTACGGATATAACATTGATGACATTGTATTAAGGCCATTTTGTACTGCAAATCGACTGAAATTGGATATTTGAACATCTAGTATTTTGTTTGAGCTGTCTAAAAGTATTGTACATATAATTGAAATAAAATAAAAAATCGATAAAACAAAAATCTCATGAAACAATGAAAATTTATTACATTTTAGATCTAAACTATGGAACAGTGAACACTAATCCAATAATTCTTTGGAATAAAAATTGACTCATCAACAAAGAATCAGGTTATCAGTTCTCATGAGAAGATCCGGTCAACTAAATGATCAGAGATCAAATGAACAGAATGGTGAAAAGAAATGTAAACAAACTTACTAATGGGACCTAAAAGAACATTTAGTCGTAAACAGTATTGTCAGAACAAACTAACTGAGCATATGTGAAATTGATTTCTCCATTATTCAGCTCCGAGAACTCAATAACACTGAACTTTATTAATCTTTCCCGCCTAAGATTGAATTCAAAAATTCGGAAACAGTGAAATTATTAGACCAATGATTTAAAAAGTCGAATGAGTTAGTAACAGAACTATTAGTCGTAAAATAAAAGATTGCATGACCACGTAGATGAATAAACTCCTATAAAAATTAAGGATTAAACATTTAACTTATTAGACTTAGTTGGATTAAAACTAGTATATAGTAGAAAATATAGGATACATCGAGGATCAGCGTTGTCCTTCTTATATATAATCAAGTATGACTATTATTTTTCGGAACTGCAGAACTATTTTATACAGTAAACTCTTTAAAGATTATTAAAAATAAAATATTTAAATTAAGTGTAGGATGGTTGATCACTTTTTTACTTGGTTATCCAATCAATTTATGGGGATGGAATATAATGGAGATTGGATAATTTTAACTCTAGCTGGAGTTGATCATCAAAGGTAAAGGAACAAATCCATTTTATCAAAAAATATCACGCTCATTTCATTATGGAAGTTAGATTTCATAAAATTTCATTCTATTCCTTTTTTACAACTTAACTAATTCTCTCTGGCTTGTGATCATCAATTTGTACTGAGTGATTTATACAAACACAACCAATCTTAACTCATAAGGAAATCAAAATAAGCTAAAAAAAACACTATAATAATAGTGTCATAAATTTAACTCTCCCAACCTATATAATCATGTAAGCAAACTACATTTCTTACTGAAATTTTATTAAATTCTAAATTAAACATAGATAATTTCTCTATTTTATGATATATTTATAATAGTGTTGTGGTATGGGTTGTTTATATCCACATAAGTAGTATATAACGATGATCAGGCAGAGAATGTATTTCACTAGAAGATTGATAAGGAAAGAACACAAAAGAAACGCGAATGATATGAAAATTCATGAAACTAATAATTGGAAACTATGGATTGATATGTGCAGAAGGAATGGTCAAGATTGAGATAATTGATTGATAGTTTTCAAATTAACTATTTACTGTATGGTTGTCAGATTTTAGTGAGATAGTTTGTAATGCTTGTAGCAAATACATTTGGTTGTCCCCCCACTTGTGTTCTCATTCATTATATTTAGTGTCGGTGCCAACCAGGACGCCGCTGCGGGCCTGGAAATGAGGTGCTAAATGTGAATTTAATAAATATTAGCATTTTTGTTAAATCGAATGGAAAACTACTTATTATGTTCAAGATTACAGATATTTTTTATACAGTCAGCCAGATTATTTATTATTAGTATAATGAATCCAAACGAAAAATAAGATTCTTCTGAGTATGGAAAGTAATAGCAATATGAATGTAAATAATAGCATTTACTAATATATATGTTTCGTGAACTTATTTATAAATTATATCATTTTCAAATTTGTTTTCTTTATATATATTGAAGTAAATCTGTCATCATAAATATGGTATTCAAGTTGACACATAACTGCTAACTCGCGAGACTAATAAGTCCTGTGTTCGAATCTCCCTAGGCGGGATCGTTGATGCACACTGCTAAGGAGTCCCATAATAGGACGAAACGGTTGTCCAGTGTTTCCAGGTTTTCCATGGTGGTCTAACTTCAGTTGACTCATGATTTCAACTATAAACATTATTTTACAGACTAGATGATTTAATTTTCAATCTTTTTTTAATCGTTCAAGTTAATATTATTCAACTTTTATTGTTATTACTATTATTCTAACTGGGTTATCTATGTTACATGGCATACCTCTTACAATAAACATTGAATATTTACTTGTTTATACTTATTCAAATGTAGTTATTACAATCTTTATTATTATTTTTCAATTATCATTTATATCTCTTCTTATTTCAGTTTCTTATTAATACTACCATTATTGTTGGCACTAATAGTAATAATAATAATAGTGCTATCAGTGATAGTAATACTCACTATTATTATTTTATTAAGCATAAAGTTGAATAAATTTATTATGGCTAGTTCTGTTATGAAAATATTCACCATTAAATGGCTGCGGTAAATCAAAGAACAAAAAAAAACATCTTTATTAACTTAGAGAATGCCGATCATTAGTTCAAAGGAAACCGGGAATCTCTACCCAACTAGTTAACTACATATATGTATATGTATGCATGATTGCATCCATGTGTCTGTACATGTTTTTATCAATAGGCATACTAATACATACATGTTGATACTAAAACGACTGATGTTAATAGCATTAATATTATTATTATTACTACCACAACAACGACGACTACCACTATTAGTAGTATTTATTGTTTAAGCTTAAAACAAGTTCTAACTAACTAAAAGACAGTTATTCTCTTTTTTTCTCTCTCCCTCTTTGTCCTTTTAACTATTGGCAAACATACACAAATAAGTATATACAGAAATGCATTTCTATGTTCTGTCTTGAGAGTGCTCTTCTTTTTTTCCAGGTTTTATCTCACTTTGGCGCTTTTCATGTTATTTATTGCGTTACTTTTTGCGGAGAAACTACTACATACCTAATGAAACCATTTGCATATACATATATATGATATATACCAAAAACCATGTGACTACGTTGAAAGAAGTAAACCTTTAAGCTAATATTATTCTCTGTAAAAGGATATCAAAAGTTAGTGTTCACATACTTACCTCAAAATCAACATTTGAAGGGTTAGAGTTATCCAAGATATAGGGTTGAGTCATTCGTTGAACATTTGGAAAGAGTATAAGCTCAGTCATCTAACAACTTTTACATAATTTCAAACATTCTGATATTTCACTGATTTAAATGAATAACTTATAAGAATGACAATACATTGAACCATTAATGATAATAAATCATCATTGAACTGTTGTTTAATTACAAATGGTTGCACAATATCGTGGATTGGTTGCATTTAGACACTAGTACCTTTAGATGCCTTCTCAGTGGTCTAGATGGTTAAGCGTTTGCGTGAGATTGAAGGTCTACGGTTCGAGTGCCGCGTGAGGTATCACGGACTTTCACTGCTGAGGAGTCCCATACTAGAAGGAGACGGTCGTTCAATCATTCCAGGTTTTCAATAGTGGTCTATCGTTGATTCGTTCATGATATTGATAACTACAAGTTGCATGACATATCTATACAACATATATTCGTACATGAAATAATTTACAGTTGGTTTACAAGCTAATACATGCGCTTATTTCATGTTCATTTAATCAATTACATGAAGTATTAGTATGAATAAAATTGAGTAAACAATAAAATGAAAATATTTTCAAATCTAAATTCAAGGTAATATTCATATTCAATGTTTACTGGTTATGATAGTTACATTAAACAGTTATGTATTTTTAATTGCGTTTTCACATGGAAATTGAGAATAATTTACTATTATTCAGTTAAATCGAAAATTGTATTTACTTTGACTACATTTAATTGACAGACTGTAGAGAGAGAGACTCTTGTTTGTACTAAGTCAAAAAACAAAGAATTCTAGTAGGTAACTGTTACTGAATTACTGGTTTGAATTATAAAAATGTCTCGTTAGCGTTGAAAAACTTTTTTTGTGATGAAGTCCACATGTGATTGATTCGTTAAACTCAGTTATACCTTCTATACCTTCTATATCTTTGATATCTGAATTTTTCTGAATGAAGACTTCATCTGTATTAGTTCATAAGTGATACAGTTACGAACACTACGTAATGCACATTATATAGATAGGTGAGCTATATTCATGTCACTGAGTTATACTGGGTTAAGTTACATCAACATTCCTTTTTATCATATTAATCTGAAATTTACAGATCGTCTATGAGTAAATTTATTGTGTACGTCCTAAAATCTACTATAGTAGAGACGATAGGTGATTTGTTAGGGGAAATACTGACTTACTAAGTTTAGTGCCACACGAAGTATCAGTTCATTTAAAATCCTTCGAGACACTTCCTTACAAGTATAGATTGACATGAAATCTGTATCTGGAGCTTACTGCCTAGTCCTGAATACTTAATAGTAAAACAAAATGTATGAAATGTCTAGTCAGTTATAATGTTGGTTGTATTACGACCTAGTCATAAGGGCTTGAAAGTAGGTATTTAAGATGGATTGTTCAGTTTTTTACTTTCTATGATGTACTGAACCAATTCTGGAAAAAAAACAAGAAACCGTGAATAGAATAGCAGAGATGGATAGTGGCTAGCAGTGGAATCCAGGACACGCGTTTCGTCCTATTTGGGACTCGTCAGCTGGATGTACCTGCATCTCAGAGTTGATGTTCACTCTGGGACTCGAACCCAGTACCCTCGCTTCAAACGCCATCGCGTTATCCACTCGGCCACTGAGTCCTGATAGCCACTTGCTTGTGCGATGGGGTGAAGTTTAAATTCAACCAGTTGCAGTCCTAACAAATCGATGGGAAGATTCAAACAAACAATACTAAGTTGAATGTGAATAGAATAGTTTCACAAATGTTCAGTAGTTATTTTGTAGGTATAATAGTAACATAAATTCCTTTAACAAACTACAAAAGATTAATTGTCATTATTTTAGATACAATATCTCCAAATACAACCCACTAGAATGAATATCTCTCTTAATTTTGCTTATGAATTTTAAGTGATTTCGAATCTATATAAGATTGTATTAGCTTGAATGTAAATTCAATCTTATTTGATCCATTCCAATAAATCTTCATAATAAGATTGACTTTTTAGAATATTTAGAGGGAGGGAGAATGGTTAAAACTAAGTATAGCTGACACATGTGTTATCACAATAGCTGTCAAAGTTATCACTATATATCTTACATCAACAACAGTTAGACCATGGAAATAGTTTATTACAATTACTTAAAAGAAGTTCTAAACCAAAAGGAAGTATCCGAGAATCGTTGAATATAGTCGTGATCACATTCATTACGCAACCATGTGCTTGAAAAAAACTCGACTGGACAATTTATAATGTTATTGATCTATACTTATGCATAATCATATCTATCTTGTTTATAATCTTCCTAAGGTACACAAAGGGGATTATATTGATAGGCTAATTCCTTAGATAAAATCCACTTTATGTATAAATATAATGTTTGACGAATTTCTTTTGTAATTAACACCACATTGGTAGTAAATTCAAATTAGTTGTTTTTAAACCCATAAAAATAAAATAATGAAAAACAAATGGAATAAACAAGCTTTTTTTTCATAAAAATCATTTTATGTTTTTAATAAGTAAATAACTTACCGGAGTTGATACTAATGATTGCAATAGTACATATTATTGAATTGAAGGGTTGAGGGCATCGGTGACATTGTCAATGTTCATTATGTTGTACCCAGGATTTTTAGTCTTTTTTCTTTTCATTTAGGGAGTGACTACTGCATAATGGACGTAATTTATACACTTAACAAATCTAACAATCTACACCTATCCGTTATTAGTATTAATTTGTTTACGCAACAAGGCAGAAGTACTTCATACCAAAGAACTGGGATCAGATTACCATACATATTAGAAAAATGTTTTATAAATTCTGGGTACTCATAATTTAATCCAGCTATTAACATTGAATAGCGAACCACAAATAAAGAACAAATTTGGAAAATATAAATTTCTTATAGTAATGGTGTGCAATTATCATGAAAGATTTCATTTCAAGTCTAAATGTTTTTCGTCAGGGATGTCACATTATGCTTCACTGGAGCATTTATGACAGATAACTAATGATAACTTCAGAACCTTGAATTAGAATTTTCGATAAAATTTTTCTCTATTAAAGAATAATTAACCAATAAATGAACAAGAATGTGAACAAAAGTGCTGAGTACAACATACTTGATGGAAATTAAAACACTGAGGATAAAATCAGTCAAATGAAGAATTGGTTAGATGTGAAGGTTATGTTAGTGTCTTGTATTCTTTTTTGGAGAATTATATAAACTATTTTAAATAATCTTAGAAATATCTTAATTCTTTGAACTTATTGATTGATTCTTTTGAGGAAGTTTGATCCCAGAATTCACTTGGAAAAGGTATTAATTTTTCAATTTCATTCTAAAAATTTGAATTTTATGTTTTCGAGCCAAGAGACGCTAGTTAACCTACAACTTTCATTCCCACTCGAAAATCCTTAACTGTCACTGGGTGACAAATTTTTTTAGTACGCTATTTTGTGGCTCTCCCAAGGGTGTTTCTATCATTGTATAAATAAACTTGATTTCTGTGCTTAGTGACCTCATATTTTCTGTGTGCTTGTAGAATACATTCCTTAAGCCTCATCAAGACTTGCTGATCTAGTTAGCAGGGCCGGGGAAAACGGATTAGAATAGCCTAACATTCGTTTACCAAGTGAGGTGAGCTCGTAATAGTATGAAGAATATAAGATTCGATCCCTTGAGATTGTTTAAACTGAAAAATCAGTTTTCGTCAATCATTAAGGCTTGTCTTAATAATACTTGGAAGAACCACTCGAGATAATAAGTTACAATAGTGACTTAATGCTATATTCTATATTATTAATTAATTTAAATTGATATTATGGTCCATTAGAGTGTGATTTATTTAGTTGAAAAGTTATTCTACTCTGAATTCACTTAGTATTGTTTGTTTGGATCTTCCCATCGATGTGTTTAGGACTGCAACTGGTCAGTCTCTAATTGGCATATGTGCATACTGTGCGTATTGCCTCGATATAGCCTTAATTCACAAGCATTATAAGCAAAGATGGATAGTGGCTAGCAGTGGAATCCAGGACGCACGTTTCGTCCTATTTGGTCTCAGAGTGAACATCAACTTTGAGATGCAAGTACATCCAACTGACGAGTCCAGAATAGAACGAAACGCGCTTCCTGGATTCCACTGCTAGCCACTATCCATATTTGCTTATAAAGTATGAATATTAGATTTTCCATTATTAATCTATACAAGCAAAATATTGTTCAAAAGTACATGTGTATTAAGCTTTAGTATGTAAAATTTAATCAGGTCACCGGACTAAATGTAAAATAGAATTGTTATTTAGCATTTTTTTCTCTTTCCTCAATTGAATGAGACTACATGTTTGTCATTCATGTATGTTTATATACATTGAATTTATATGCATTAATTTCTTTCTATTATTATTATTATTATTATAATCATCATCATTGGTACTGTCGTTGTTGTCTTTATTGTGAAAATATGAAGAGTAGAGACAATCAAATAAAAAGAGAATGCCGACAAAATTAAAATGAGAAAAATAATGATTTTTTTAAATATTTTTGTACCAAAAATTTACAATCAAAAGTTTAATCATTTATAAAAATCTGCATCTAATTATTTATTTTAATCGGTAATAGATGAATAAATAGATCACTGGTTGGTTATTTGAATGTTGATTAGTCATAATGTATAAATTAATGATATTACACTTATTCGCTAGAGGTAGATTAGTATTCTATTCATTTTCTTTATAATTATTGATTAACATACGTATTTGTGAGCTAGGGTACTGCCCTGGTACTTAAAACTAAAACAGCTGATTTCCCTAGGGGGATACGTCATGAATCTTTAATCTAATGATCTAATACACAAGGAATTTGAGCTACATCAGATGCGATCTCATAGTATCTGGTGTCAAAAATAGGTTCACAGGTCATTCTTTTCTTCAGGATGCTAAAGCCCAGTTATACCATTGATTTAGAATTAAGATTTTCTAATTGGTGTAGGTAGATCTCTCGTATTTATCAACTCAGTTTAAGCACTGGAATTTCTATTTCGTCTTCTTGGTTTTGTAAAAACATCATTCACATCTAGAGTTGAACACCTATGACTTGGTCATTTCGGTGCCGTTATGATATGAGTCCGGGTGTAAATGTTCGGCTCTACAATGCATTGGTTTAAGCAGTTCTGCTTTATGCTTTAGAAACCTTAAAACTTTAAGTTGAAGATGTTTGGGGACTCTTTGGATTTGATCACATTTGTTGCAAAAGGACTGTCCACATCCAGTGGCAGCATCATGTTAATTATGATAAGATTCAAATATGTGTTTAGATGTGATGAGAATAATCCAGTTAGTGTCATCATCTTGAAACACCAACTTTGGTGGCGTAAACGTGTATCATGAGTGACATTCCAACAGGGTATTAGTCGCTGGCAAATGAACGAGGTAAGATATGTGTCCATGAGTTTACAGAGCATCCCTTTTCTAACGTTCAATGAGCATGGGGTATCAAGCATT